CAGCAGCAGCAGCAGCAAGAATTCCAAGAGTTGTTCAGGCATATGAGTCAAGGGGATGCTGGGAACATGGGCGCCAGCGTGGGACAGAGCCTCTCGGAGCGCCAGTCGTTGTCTTTGCCTTATCAGAGTGCTGACACGTACCACCCACAGAACAGCCCCCAGCATCTCTTAAAAATCAGGGCGCAAGAATGTATCCAGCAGGTACCTGCGTCAGTGCCGCCGCACGGATACGTGCACCAGCCAGCCCTGTTCCATTCGGAGAGCATGGAGGAGGACTGCGCGTGCGAGGGGGCCAGGGACAGCTTTCCTGACAGTAAGACTTCAAACACATTGACCAAAGGCTGCCACGAGAGCACTCTGCTCGTGAGCGCAGGAGGGCACGGGGACCCAGACCCTTTGCTAGGAACTGCTAATCACGCGCAGGAGCTGGGGACGCACCAGTACAGGCATCAGCCCGCGGCTGCCTTCAGTAGGAGTAAGGTGCCCAGCAGAGGTAAGGCTCCCTGCTCCTGATGGAACACTGCCCTGCCCGCCGGAGGCTTCCGTGACATGCTCTGCATAGCACAGAGATACCTGGATTCCTTCTGGCTTTGCGGCCTGAAGGAAATGCAGGCATAGGCTCTAATAAACAGTGTTAAATAAGAAGGGAACCTGAGCAGCAGCTTCTCTTTGAAGTGTGACCTACTTCTGCAGGCAGGTGAAGGCCAGGTCCCAGTAGTGCGCTGCCATCTTCTCAGGGATGCTGCGTGCTGGTGGCGCATTTATTCCCCTTGGTGATGTTCCCAATCCAGTGTAAAACAACAGGCTGGAAACAGTTAACCGACCAGCACAGCCTTAAGAGTGGTGGTAGATGTTTTGTGGCTAGGGCTGCCTTGAGGCAGCTCCTCTGGCACTTTGGGCAGCAGCAGCAAGACTCCAGCCCTGCCTGAACTAGAAGGGGTTGGTTTTGGATAAAGTTGAGTTTAAACTTGCCATTAGCATCTGAAGACCTTCTCTGCTGGTCGGAAGCCTTTGCTCCTTGGTGGCTGCATTGGCAGCTGTGCAGTGTAAGAGAAGCTCCTGCCTGAGCTGTAATTCCTGGCCTTCTCTGTATGAAAAGCACCATCCTGGCCCCTTGCTAGGAGGGCTTTAGTGAGAAAAGGGCTTTCCAGGCTGAGCCAGGAGGATCAGTATTCACAGCGAGACAGAGCTGTGCTGGTCTGAAGCCCTCAGCTTGCCCTTGGCACAGCAGGCCCTATTGCAGAGGAGCAGTGTCCAGGGCACAGGAGGCTCGGCTTTGTTTGGGGACACAGCACGGGTTTGCTGGGAAAGTACTGGGTTGGAACAGACTGGCGTGGAGGGCAAAGCAAGCGTGCCAAGCCCTGGTCCCCCGGAGCACAGGCAGGCTAGGGACAAGGCTTGGCTGTTTTGAAGTCGTCTTCAATCCTGGTTAACCAATGTGTTTGCTCCTGCACCTCATTTTCCCTGTGGTGCTTGAAGCATGGAAGGGGGAGAATCACCCCATGTGAAGGTGGAAGGTCTGGAGGTGTGTTTTCTACCAAATCAGTATGGTATTAAGAAGTTTGCTTCTTAATACCATAGACTATTAGATGAACAACAAGACTTAATGAAGCCAGAAGCTGAAGTTCTGCCCCCATACTGGTGGTGCTCCAAGTGGTTACACAAGGGAGAGGACTTTACCCTACAAGTCTTTGTAAATGAGTAAAAGCAAGTAAATGTTTACAAATAGTGTTGTGTAAGTGCATTGTCGGAGGGCTCATGTAGTAAACTCTGCCGAGATGCAGCTGCTCGCGCTGCTTTCCTCCTGCCTTCAATAACCCACTTGGAATCAGGCCTGTGCTGCTGCGGCTCCAGCAGAGCTGACATCTCTGCTGCCTGGGCACCCTTACCTGCAGTTAAGCCCTACACAGCATCAGGGTACGTGCTGGTGCTCCACTCACACACAGGGTACTCCCAGCATTCCCAAGTGTGCTATGTGCAGGCACCAAAGGCTGGCTGGGAACACATGCCCTGGCCAAGCATGGATCCTCTCCTGAAGGCTTTCCTAGCCACATTCCTGGGCTTGTCCAGTTCATTTCCCTATACAGTGTTAGGAGGCTGCAGCTTCTCCTGAGAGAAGAGGGGGAATTGTCTCTTCTGCCCCAGCTCACCAAGTGTTTTCCCTAGAGTGGGGTGTACCTTCACAGTGCCTTCTGATAGAGCACGTTGTCCCTGATCAGAGCGCCCTGGCTTGTCTGTTGAGTATCACAGCCAGGGACTGAGAGAGTGTTGACCGAATCCGTGTTTAGGATGTGACTAAACTGCCTTCGAACAGCCTTGCTCCAGTTTTGCTCCAGCCATCGCAGGGCTGGGAATGCTGCCCATGGGAAACCTGCCTCGCTCGGCCCCGAAGGAGCGGAGCTGGCGGCCCGTGGTGCCAGTGTCACATGCTGCACCGACACAAAGGCTGCCCCGTCCCCGGTGGGTGTGGGGATGGATGCGGCTCCTGCACCGGGTTTGGGCGGCTGGAGCAGGGCTGGAGTGAGGAGAGGAGGGTGAATTCCAGACATCCCCATCCCTGAGCCCTCCGCATCCCAAAGGTGCTGTGCTCGCAATGGGATGCATGTGGTTGTGTCCCGGCTGTTCCAGGCTGCGGGGTCTCATCCCGATGTGCCAGGCTGGCTGTGGGAGCACTCCTGCTCCAGGCTGTGTTTGGAGCTGGAGGAGCCGGCTGTCGGCCCAAACAACCATTCCCACACTTGGAGCCGTGTCCCGAGCAGCATGTGGGTGGCACGGCCCCGCCAGCAACTCTTACCTCATGTTTTCCTTCTCCCTTTTCCGGGAAGGCTGACTGTTAACCGCACGTAACCCCACGGTTGTGCAAAGGAAGGGGGAGGCTGGCTGCATCTGACTGCCCTCACTCCATCCCGGGCCAGCCGGAGCTGTCTCCAGGGGAGGAAGGGCACCGGGAGCACTGTGCCAGCCCTGCTTGTGCGCCTGGGAGTGGGTCTTGTCTGGATCTTGGTCACTTTATGGACAGGTCTCCCTGGGAGCACCTTCCTGGCATCCCTCCGCTGCAGACCCAGCGGTGCTGGTGCCGTGTCCTGGCACAGCGGGACAGTGCTGCCCACTGAGCAAAGCCCTGTGAGCACAGGCAGCTCTGGTGGGGATCTCCGTGCAGTGTGTCACTTCAGGGCAGCTCCCCAGTGCTCGCGGCCACATCGGCATGTTTGTGCTCCACAGGGCTGCTCAGAGCTGTTTACAAGCATCAGGCCCAATGACGGGCTGCTCCCTACCTCAGGACTTTATTCAAAACATCGTGTACTTGATGATGAGAGGTTTTGCTTGATAGCAATGTAGCCTTTACCCTCGGTCATGAGAGCTTGCAGTGCAGATGGACTTTGCCAGGCAGATCACTCATGTACTCCTACAGCCAGATTGTAGGAGGGCAGGGAGAAGTCATCTGATAAAAGCGAGCATCCTGGCCAACTCTTCCAGCAGGACTGTGCTGCTGACAATTGCCAAGGGGCCCTGCTGGAACATCCCATGTGGAGGCTGGGGAGACGCTTCTCCCTCCGCTCTTGTGCAATGATGTGGGCAAGGCCGGGACGAGGTGGAGGGGAAGGCAGCAAAGCTGGGAAGCAGGCTGAGAGGGGTCTAGCTCCTGTGCTGTGGTGCCTCTGACCCTCTGGTTTTAGGCTGCTTTTGTAGACCTTACAGAAGGCAGATAGCACTGGGGTCTTTGGGATCTCAGTGCTGGAGGGAGAAGCCTGCCCGAGTGCCATCGGTGGGGCCCTGGTGCTGCATCATTGGACGGGAGCAGTGCGGGTCCCTTTCCTTCTGGGCTCTGGTCCACCAGCATCTCAGACCCACAGCCTGGTGGCGGTGCACAGCACGGGGAGCTGCAGGTTCCTCGTACTAACCTGTCGTTTCTCTGTCTTGTCTGGCTTTGAAGAGTGCATCGTAGGGAACTGTATGGACAGGAGCTCCCCCGGCCAAGCGATGCAGGTGCCTGACCACAACGGCCTGGGCTACCCCGTGCGACCCGCCTCCAGCGAGCACCCGCGGCCCAGGACCCTGCAGAGACATCACACCATTCAGAACAGTGATGATGCCTACGTAGGTTTGAAGCAGCCTGTGTCAGCAGGGCTTAAGCAGCACAGAGCTTCCTTCATGTGTGAGGGTTATGTACAAGGTGTTGTGTAGGACAGGCAGCACCCAGCTCTGTGGAGCTGCTGGGAGTGAAAAGCCCCGTGAAACACTTCAGTTAGCGTGTCCTGTTCGCTCAGGACTGAACACACTTTAGCAGAGACCCAAATGGAATGCTCCTCCTCTGCTAAAGGGTTGCCCTTGGGTGGCTGCTGCAGCTGTGGCAGCTCTTCTTTTTGCCCTGATGCCCTCTGATGAAGCAGCCTGTGCTGCCCGGGCCTGGCTCTGGCCACGGGGGTGCTTTGCAGGCACAGCAAACCCAGCATTTGGTTCTGCAGGGCCTGAGAGCAGAGAGTGGCTGCTCCAGCTCTGCTGTGGTTTGGGCTGCTGGGAACTGTCCTGGCCAAAGCTGGATGTGTTCTTTGCTACAGCTCCCTTCTGCTCTAAGTGAGAAGGGCTCTGCCCTAGTTAGCTCAGTGCGGGTCTGGAAGGGACTCAGCCTGTCCACTCCACTCTTGGGTTGAGGGGACAGTAGCTGCACCCGAGTTGTGCCTTATGGTGTATGGTTTTCACTTGTACTTAGGAGCTCTTGGTGAAGGGATGGAAAGACGCTCCCCAGAGAGCTGGGGCAGCAGCGGGGTGCTTTGTCCCGATCCCCCTTTGACTTGAGTGCTGCTCTCTCCGCAGGTGCAGTTGGATAACTTGCCTGGAATGAGTTTAATGGCAGGAAAAGCACTAAGCTCTGCTCGGATGTCGGACGCTGTCCTCAGCCAGTCGTCGCTGATGGCCAGCCAGCAGCTGCGTGACAGGGACAGCGATGGTAAGGACCTGCTGAGCTGCAGGGATGTGGCATGAGGGGTCTGGGCCGGGAGCTGAGGGCACCAGCTCACAGTGTGGGGTGCAGAGCACCTCTCCTCCAAGTGAGCAGTGCCTGCAGGGAGCAGGGGGTCTGGGCACCTCCGGCGCAAACTCCAACGTTGTTCTTTGCCCTTACAGAATGTGGGGAGAGTTTGGAAGGTCAAGAGCATCCCAACCTAGGTGATGGCAACCAGCATCTAAACACCTCCTGTTACCCATCGACATGTATTACAGATGTCCTACTGAGCTACAAGCACCCGGAGGTGCCCTTTGGGATGGAGCAGGCAGGGGTGTAACCAGGAGGGAGTGAGTATTCAAGTGTCCTCCTCTCTCCAGTGTAGGGTTGCCTCCACGGCAGGCCCAAAGGCCTGTTGGCTGGACTTCCATGTGTCCCATTCCCTACTGCCTTGCTCCAGGGCTGGTGCAAGGCTGGGAAAGAGACCGGCAGCTCCGAGCTCCTGTGGCTGTGGTGCCCTGCCCATCAGCAGGCTCCAGGCAGGCCTTGGCTGCTCTGCCAGAGCCCCAGCTCTTCCTCCCAGGGTGCAGCTTGTGGGTTGGGACTGGGAATGGGGTTGAGGGGCTGCGGAAGCAGAGCTCCCATCCTCTGGTGTCTCCTAACACCTCTGCTTCTCCTCTCTTGCAGGTTTTCTGTACAGCTTTGAAACGAAAAGGTCCATTTTAAACCAACAGTATCTAGCAGCATTGCGCCAAATTGCCGTAGTATTTCTGACTAACTGGAATACCATGGCCCCTCTCCTCATACTCTGCTCCGCCAGCCTCTCCTTCCTTTGGTTTCTTTACTTCCTTTGCCATGTTTGCCTGGAACTCCCACCGAAACAACCAGAGCCCCTGAGCCCCCCACGGAGCCCAAGCACTGGGGC